GATAGGTTTTGAGCCTGAAATTGAAACTTTAGACTAAAAGTCTCTTCTACAAAGTTGTTCTTTATAGTTAGGCCCTCATTTTGATGACAATGAATTCTCGGGTGGTTCCTATTATCATTAAAATCAATAATCTAACTTTTTTGTTTGAATAAATTAAGGTATACATTCTTCGGCAAAGTTATAGCTGAGCTAATTTCAAGCAACTTTGTTCAAAATAACTTTTTTGTATCTCTTAAATTGGCCGATTTAGAGCTATTTTCTTGAATTGAGTCAGGGTGGCTCTTAAAAAAACAGTTTTTTCGCTCTAGTTTTCTTATTTCGAATTTCTCAGCAAAGGTGTCTTTAGATAACTTTTAGACCTTAAGAAGGCGCAAAGCTCCACAAAGCTTGTCAATATCTTTCGCCGATCAAGAGTTATTGACGTTTTTATACTAAAAATATGCATTTTTCAAATGTTAATATCTCTGGTTGGGGCAAACAAAAAAAAAGTTTTTTTACGGCATTTGAAAGAGCATATGTTATTCTCAATAATATGAAAAAACTGGGGGTATGTTATTTTTTAAACTCGTATAAAATCAATTTGAATTTATTCATATTTTTTACTATATTTGGGTATATCTTTTTTATTAGAAGAGATACAGGCAACAAATTCAGCTATATCAGCATTCGTCTTAAAGAGTTTTAAAATTTTCTAGAATATAACTTTCATGAGAAATTTCAAATAAAAAAGTTATTGCTGAAAAACTATTTTTTTCAGGAACACCCTAAGTCAACTCCGAAAAATTACTTTAAAGTGAGAACGTTAAGAGATAGAAAAAAAAAATCTCCCACAAAGTTGCTTGCAATTAACTTAGCTACAACTTTTTTAAACAACACATGTTTTTATTTTGTAAAACAAAAAAGTTAGTTTTAAAAATTCCCTAATTTGAGGACAACCCTGACGTTTGCAAACAGCAAAAGAAGGGGATTTTTAAGAACAAAAACTTCTTCGAAGACACAAAATGCCCAAATATTGAAACAAATGTACTAGCATATTTTATATAAATTTGTCATTAGAGTGGTCCTATGAAATCCATCTTTTGCCAATAACTTTTTTATTTGAAATTTATCATGAAAGTCATCTACTAGAGACTTTTAAAACTCTTGAAGACAAATGTTTTATAGCTAAATTTGTTGCCTGTATCTACGCCCTTTCAAATGCCGTAAAAAAACTTTTTTTGTTTGCCCCAACCAGAGATATTTACATTTGAAAAGAGCATATTTTTAGTATAAAGACGTCAATAACTCTTGATCGGCGAAAGAAATTGACAAGCTTTGTGTAGCAAAAATTTGCGCCTTCTTAAGGTCTAAAAGTTATCTAAAGACACCTTTGCTGAGAAATTCGAAATAAGAAAACTAGAGCGAAAAAACTGTTTTTTTTAAGAGCCACCCTGACTCAATTCAAGAAAATAGCTCTAAATCGACCAATTTAAGAGATACAAAAAAGTTATTTTTAACAAAATTGCATGAACTTAGCTCAGTTATAACTTTGCCCAAGAATGTATACCTTAATTTATCCAAACAAAAAAGTTAGATTACTGATTTTAATGATAATAGGAACTACCCTAGAATTCATTGTCATAAAAATGAGGGCCTAACTATAAGGAACAACTTTTTAGAAGAGACTTTTAGTCTAAATTTTCAATTTCAGGCTCAAAACATATCATTCCACCTAAATCTGCATTCTGGACCACTGTGCAATGCTACCCACACCTGGACCCTACCTATCGACCCATCAACTCATGAACCGGGAACCAACGGCTTTACTTCCCTTCCAAAGGAAGGCGTGATCAGAGATGTTATGCCTCAGAACTTCCTCTTTTCTGAAATCAACTTGGTGGGCCTGAAAAGAGCCGTTTTGTTACGTTGGTGATAAGTTTTAACCTCCGAATCCGTACAGAATGCGTCCCTGTCGCTTCAGAGCGTAGACGACATCCATGGCCGTGCCGGTTTTGCGCTTGGCGTGTTCAGTGTAGGTGACGGCATCAAGGATCATATTTTCTAGGAACACCTTCAGCACGCCTTCCAGCAAGCTTTGTCGATATTGAGAAATTGCCGTAAAAGCTCTACGCAGATGTTGCCACTGCATGATAATGATAATGATGACAGGCTACATAGCAAATTCATGAATATGAGCATTAATTCATAATTTTCATCAAACCTACAAAACATCCTTTCAATACGAATGGTGTTAGGAAAACTTCATTCCAATACTTCTTTGCATCTTTGAGTATTCCAGTTGGATTTTAATACAAAATATTCATTTTTTAATGAATGCTCATTTTCATGAATTTGCTATGTAGCCTGTCATGTCAACATTATCATCATCATACAGTGGCGACATCTGCGTAGAGCTTTTACGGCAATTTCCCAATATCGACAAAACTGCATCACCATCACTGTATATAGCCAATGGGAAGCGAGGAAATATGGTACCGGCAGAGCTGGTTGTCTATATAAGAGGTTGCTAACCATGCTTTAGGCTTAGTTTCGATTCACCCGTTCAACGACAAACATCATGAATCAATGACTGGTCGTGGCAAGGGAGGCAAAAGTCTTGGAAAAGAAGGCGCCAAGCGTCATCGGAAGTTCTGCGTGATAATATCCAGGGCCTGCCATCTGTCGTCTGGCTCGACGTGGTGGTGTCAAGCGTGTCTCCGGTCTGATCTACAAGGAAACCCGAGGTGTGCTGAAGGTGTTGCTAGAAAATATGATCCGAGATGCCGTCACCTACACTGAACACACCTAGCGCAAAACCGTGACGGCCATGGATGTCGTCTACGCTCTGAAGCGACAGGGACGCACGCACTCTGTACGGTTTCGGAGGTTAAAACTTATTACCAACGTATCAAAACGGTCCTTTTCAGGGTCACCAAGTTCAATTCAGAAAAGAGTTAGAATAGAATTTATATAGTAACTCGTGATTTACCCATTCAATTTGTCACTAAATTGATGTATATTTACGATACAAAAATCAAATAATTTGTTAGGGAAATAAATTATGTTCTATTTGTAGTCTTACCGGTGGGTCGAATTTATTCCGTTTAACTTTCATAAACTGAGAAACCCTCATCGTATGCATTCTCCTGCTGCGCGACATCTTCGAAAACGTCCGAACCGTTAAATAATACAGAGTACAGAGAGTACAGACTAGAAAATCGAACAAAAATTTCGTAGTCCTACGTCAACAATGCGGTCGTGTCTTGTACACCACCCTCCAACATTTTTTTTTTTTGTTTATAATTTTTTATGGAAATTTTGGAAAGAAAATTGACTTCGAAAGATTTAGTTTTTTCAAAAAAGTAGTTTAATCGAAAAGTTAAGAAATTCGTCCAAAAGTTGTTCAACAATTTTTGTAAATTTTCAAGTGTCCAACTTGAAATTTTCATTGATGACAGCTTTTTTATAAAGATATTCAAAAAACATCGAAGAGGGTTATTTTTTACTATCGTAGTTTTAAACGCTTTTTTGGTTTTTTTTTACCCAAAACAACTTGACATTGTTAACCGTGTATATTTATTACACAAAGGAATTATGCCTTCATACAACTTTGTCTCGGACGTCATTTCGATAGGAAGTAACGTTTTCGAGTTGTGATACGTTGAAAATTTCCGAATACGCCATTTTGAAGTTTTTTGCAAGATTCAAAATGGCCGAATTTTAGCTCAAATGTGAATGATTGACCATAACAAACTATTATGCAAAGTTTCATGAGAATCAGAGAAACTCGTGTCAGATTGATTCGTCATATGGCGTGAAACTACTCAACATTTTCCCAAGATTCTGAAACATGCAATAACAGTTACAATTAGGCACAGATAAACAGACATAGCTCATGCATGTTGTTCATCGGTCAATTTTTTTCTTAGTTGGTAGTACCACCACCTGTGGCGTGCGTAGTCAATTTACTTCCGCACCGACCATGAAATCGACTTCAAATTGGCAACTCTTCATTTCTCTCATACGAACGCTATGAGACAGGTACAATCGCGTCATCTGCCGCTCAAAGGTAAATGCTTCGAACGAATTTGATAGCAAAGATTACATCCTCAGAAGAAAGGTTTGTGTATTTGCTCATTTTTCTATGCGTTGCTTCCACCTTCACTCAAGCGCAGCGCTATTGTATCTGTCGCTTGGATTCGGGCAAAGTTGCCAGTGTTTGATATGATGTATATGATGTCTTCGATTTTACTCAGTCTATGATCATTCTAATAGAATGATTGAAACCCCTCTAGAATGATTTAAACTCCTCCCCCCCCCCCCCAAATTCGGTCGAATTCAACTGAAATTTTAAGTCGATCTCATCGTTCGTGCGTTTGACGTTTACACACTGACCGCCATCTGTTGACCGTACTGCCTATGACAGGCTACTCAACCGATGGCAGTAGTGTTTTAGTAACGATGTTGTACAGTGAAAAATGTTCAATGCTTTATGTCTGTTGGTCTGATAAATTACAAAAAAAAACACAATAGCTCATCTTACTACTTCCACATTTAATCCCATACTAATCTCGATTGTTTCCCCCTTAAAATCAACAACTTACACTCCGCAACCGCCAAGTGAGCAGAATTCATCACTTCAGTAGAAAATAAAACTGCAATTTCTCTCGCTCAACTTTCCAATCTCATCTCTCACTTTTCTTCTTCCGCCCTTCCACTTTCTGGATACGAAGCTCGGAGGTCTAATTTTTCACTTGCCACTTTTCCACCACCGAACAAAACTTCATCCGCTTTCGTTGTTGTGCGAGCTTTCCTCCAGCCAGTCAGAGCACTCCCGCGCACACACGCACACACACACACACGAACACTCACACGCGCACACCTTTCTCCGGATCTGTGCCTTCTGTCCGACAATCAATATTGGCTGGGAAGATTTGACACGATTTTCCATCCACCAAGCAAGCGCCAGGCCAAGGAAAAGGGTTTCCGTTCTTGTCCCTCTGGGAGAAAAGTTTCCTTACCCCCAACCAACACGAACACACAAAACGCAATAGAATGTGTTCGTGGATGCTCACAAATACTGTCGAATCTTCGAGGCAAAGTCGAGTGTCCGACGGAAAATCCTTCGTCGTTTTCCGATAATGGAGGAAAACTCCGTTCTGGTCACTGCTACTATCAACCCAGCAGGCGATCAATGTTGGCCTAGAACCACACGCACTCACTCATACACACAAACAGCAAGCCTGTTGATGATAGGGGGGCAATGTCAACGGAGACGACGGCGGACAATGAGAGCCTCTATGGGACACTACACAGGACTAAAAAGACGACCACTTTGCTCGACGGCACAATTTGAACTGAACGAAACGACCGAACCGACGGCGAGAACAAGTGCATGCAGTTAGGAAATGGTCTGGTGTGGAGGAATTTTGCTTAATCTCTCCCTCTCTCTCTCTCTCTCTTTCTCCTACAAACTGGCTGCATTTTGCTGCACTTGATCAAAGAAGACATCCGACAATAGATAAATCGATCCGGCAATTCACATCCCATAATTATCCAAACATTTTCCCCAACTATCAATCCCGCAGTGGACAATCCAATTACCGCGCTGATGCTGTTAAATTATCGCGCGAAGTCCAAAAATGCAATTCCAAATTCCCACCAGTCAGTCAGTGGGTCAGAGACAGCTCGGGAGAGAAAATTCAACGCAGGCGCCGTATCCTTTGTTAAATTGCTGGCTGCTGCTGCGACCATTTTCCTTTCTCCACCCTCCCGCACCGCCGGGAGGCACTCAATCGGAAAATGAGCGCCACTCGCGCTCTCGCACTCATTTGGGTTTCGCAGTCGCCCGCGCTGAGTTCTGCTGAGTAGCCGTCGTGGATGTCGCGGAGAGGTGTGTTCGTGCTGCAAACGCAAACGAGAAACAAGTGTCATCATAAATCAACCGGGCAATAAATGAGTGGACGTTGCTGGGTGTGCGGACGAGGTGTCGTTGGGTCGTTTGGAGGAAAAGGTTTGTGTTTTTTCTCTTCTCTGCGTAACGGAATCATTGTTGTTGTTGCTGTAAACATTGGGATTGTTGTTTGCTCTTGTGACGACTTTGAGGATTCATTCGTAAACATTATTGGTTATTGATGAAATTAATTGTCGCGGAGGGACGAGATTAGACACATGGCATGCATTCGAGGTGGAGAAGCTTGGTTGCTAACGGTTAGCCAAGCCTATAATAATCGATTCCAGGAATGGCTGGAAACTCACGACCTAACCTAAGTCTACTTTTGCGTATAATATGGCTTAGGGGCTTCAGATAGCGTAGTCAGGGTCATTCATAAACCACGTAGACTTTCAGAGTGTAAAATTTTGGTCTACGTGGATTATATTCTACGTGTACCTACGGGTATTAAATAGACTTCAATTAGTGATCCTTAGCCTTTTGTTCGGTTCCTCCTATCCCTACCAGATCAAATGTTGACAGAAAAGGGGGACCCTCTTCGCATGGCGTGACATATATAACTCGAGCGTCTCTTTTCCATGTCCTTATGTTTCCAATGTAATATAGGCGGCTGATCATCGTTTTCGTGCCAGCGTGGGATTCTGAACATTGCTGTGCTTGATGGTCCACCAGCAATAAACGGGTTTATTCCATACCCTACAAGTCAGCTGTGAAAACAACGGGACAGCTTACAATAAAAACAAACGGACCAGGGCAGTCGGCAAAGATCCAGAATTAAATAAATGTATTAATTATTTAAAATTTGAAGATCCGGAGAACTTCGAGATTAGGGCGTAATTGTTTTTGTAAACAAACACGTCATTTGCCAATTTCTCGCGAATTGAAGCTCAATCTATAAAACTAACAACACAAACAGGTAGAGGAATGATTCCTCTATCATTTGGTATAGTTTGTTTTCAAGATTGTGTTTTTATTCGCGAGAAATCAGCGATGGACCTGTTTGTTTACAAAACCAATTACGCCCAAATCTCAAATTTCTCCGGAGATCTTGTCTACTATCACTAGCGCAAACTTATGTAAGGCTACATTTAGATCAATAAAATAATAAAACTCTCGCGTTTTCATTGACCCAACCACAGCTTTCAAATTACCAGTTATTCACAACCCTTTCTGCCCATGAAATTAGACACTTAAAATTGATGAGAATACACAAATTATTATTTGCGTCATGTTCTGAATAAAAACAGATCATCCTTCTCCAGAAATTGCGTTTACATCAGTGCCAAACTGGGACTGCGAAAAACAGCCGTCAGGTGCTTCAGAAGCTCTCAGCCAGCTGAAAATTAATCATTTTGTCAAGCTTCTGCATTCATTTTCCATCAGATGTCACTGCTGTTGTTGGCGGTGACATCTATCGGAAACTACACATAATCTGTTTTCCGTTATTGTTCACAGAGAACAGTGCAGTGCAAAACAGTAGTAGTAGTAAAATTATGTTTATTTCCGTTATTTATGGTTTTACATTGTTTTAACATTTTAATTGATAAGCCTATCAGGCTCTTCATCTTTGTTTCAAATAATTTGATAACTTACCTTACTATGAATAATTTAACCTAATTTGCAAGATCGCGTATGATCTCGTGATTTGATCTCAGACGGCGGCTCTCTGAACCTTTCGAGGATGAGCATACTCCGCTCCTCCAGTGTCTGAAGACCAGCCAGGCGGTGGATCTCACAGAACTTCGAGTCCGCGGAGAACTCTTGAGGATCATCCTAAAGATCTTGTTCTGGATACTTTGGGGTTTGAGGTGATGGCACTTAGCACAGCTCTCCCAGATTGGCGTTCCGTACTCAATGGCGGAGCGGATAATTTGCTTGTGGACGGCAAGCTTGTTTTTAATGGAAAGGGTGGACTTTCTGTTGATAAGTGTATAGAGCGACCTAATCAAGATGTTGCACTTGGTGGATGATTTGTCCACATGGGAACGGAACAGCAACTTGCTATCTGTTCGCAACAGCGAATAAGTTTCTAGACGATCCTGCACTGCCGCTGGCACTGTAAACGTCCTGGGTTTACCGACCGTCAACGCTTCAGCAGCAGAAAAAATGTCCCTTCCTTTCTCCTCATCCTTTTTTTACTAACCCCGAGATAGCCGCGGGAAAACGGCCTCCCTACTAACATGACAACAACCAATCACAATCAAGCTTGTATTTTAAAGTACACTTTTCTTCCCTTTTTGCGTTGCGCAGTAACAGCCAATCAGCAGTGGCTGATGAAATATTAAAATGTTTAAAAGTAGAGTACGCACCAAAAACTTTGTCTCTTTGCTCGACTGTTGAGCTGTTCAGTTCGTTTTCTTTTTCGCTCGAGTTCTCGCTTCGATTCGGTTTGTGCTGTCGCGTTGCGCCGTGGAAGCGTCGCCACCTTCGCGCGTTCTGGCAAGTTTACTGCAACTTGCCAACACGAAACAAATGGTGCGTAAACGTACCAATGATTCAGCAGCGGGCCCTTCAAAGAAGGTGGTAATCCAGCACAGCGCGTCGCAGGATGACGCCGGAAAACGGGTACTGCAAGCCAACCAGTTTGCGGTGCTCCCCGAAGAAAATGGCGATGGTGACGTCGTTCCCATCGCTGCAAGAGAGCGGATTCCCCCGCTTTTCACGCCAGAGAAGGATGTTGCCAAGCTGCGTGCCGAGCTGGCAAAACAGAAGCTGCTGCCTCGCTTCAAGCTTTGCAGCATCGGCACCAAAATCATGTGCTCCAGCCTGGAGGAGTACAATCAAACAGGATGTTTCCTAAAGGAAAACAACGTTGATTTCTTCACGCACGATCTGCCATCGAGCAAGCCACTAAAGCTGGTATTGCGTGGATTACCGTCGTTCGAGGCGGCTGTGGTTAAATCCGAGCTGGAGCGGCTTGGGCTCAAACCTGAGGCGGTGTTCCCAATAAACCGGCGTTCCAACCACAACACCAGCTTCCGTGACCAGTTGTTCCTGGTGCACTTCACGAAGGGATCCACCAGCCTAGCGGTTCTGAGATCCAAAATCCGGGACCTGTTTCAGGTCATCATCAGTTGGGAACATTACAAATCCCAACATCGTGATGTTACGCAGTGTATGAACTGCCTCTCCTACGGCCATGGCACCAAAAACTGCCATATGAAGACTATCTGCGGCAAGTGTGCTGGAACTCACTTGACTGCGTCCTGTGAGCAAGATGATGACATCGAGCCAACGTGTGTCAACTGCGGTGGTAACCACCAAGCCTCCAATCGCGGATGTCCCAAGCGAGTGGAGTTCATCAATATCCGTCGGAAGGCTACGATCAATAATCAGCCCGGTCGCCTCCGTAATCATCGTTCGCCTCCTGCACGCACGGAAGTCCAGTACCCAGCTCTCCAGCCCCGTCGACATGTTCCGAACTTAGAACCACTTCCGCTCAACAACCAACAAGTCAAGCATGTGAGTATTCCTAACAATCGAACAGTCCAACATCGTCTCGCTGCTGCTGCTGCCCAGCCAATGCCAGGTCCCTCCACCGCCCCTGGTTTATCATACGCTGGTGTTGTCTCAGGTGAGCCTGTCGACGATTCTCCGTTCTCCTCGGAGGAACTTGTGACGCTCGTGGCCGAGGTCATCATCATCTTGCGCACCTGCAAGACTCGATCTGAACAGCTTCATGCTGCCCTGTCCCTTGTCACTAAGTATGGACCGTGAAGCCATCAAGATCGTAAATTGGAACGCTTGCTCCTTGAAGAGCAAAAACATCGAGTTTGTTGAGTTTCTCAATGAACGAAACATCGACATTGCCATCATAACTGAAACCCACCTGAAGCCTGAAACAAACGTCTACCTTCCCGATTTCCGGCTCGTGAGGCTAGATCGAACCAACTCTGGAGGAGGAGGAGTGGCTATTGCAATAAGGAGAAACATCTGCTGTCGACTGATGCCCAGCTTTCAGCTGAAGATCATCGAAGCCGTAGGGGTGGAAGTTTCTACTCCTATCGGCCCCATCACCATCGTCGCGGCTTACTGCCCCAAACAAGTCAACATCAGGGACGGATCGGCAGCAGATCTGCGACGAGATATTATCAAGCTAACACGACGACGGGAAAACTTTATCATCGCTGGTGACCTGAACGCCAAACATCAAGCTTGGGGCAACAATCGGCGCAATCAAAACGGCACCATCCTGAACAACGACCTGCAGGAAGCACAGTACAACATCTTGAGTCCGGAAACTCCCACCCGGTTGAGTCGGTCCGGTGTTCACGCTACCATCGATATCTTCATCAGCAACATGGGCAACAACATCGCTCAACCTATCACCTATCAGGAACTCAGCTCGGACCACTACCCGGTGGTGACTGAGGTGGGATCCTCCGT